TGAAAGTCTTGGGTTGGATCCCTAGTACTATAATAAAGAAATGAATGAATGAATGAATGAATGAATGAATGAATGAATGAATGATTTTATTTTGGCACTCTCTTTTAGAGGTTGCAGTATGTGACCAGTTGGTAACAAATCTTGCAGGGGCTCATGAGGCCTGAATAATGCAGTATCCAGGGTCCCAGTATTCCCTTCAAGGGTGCCTCTGCAGTCACCTAACTTCCTCTCACGAGGCTCCCTAGTCTAACATTTCTGCCGCTTCCTAATAGCACCACACTGAAGAGCAGGTCTGTAATACATAGGCCTTTCAGGGACATTCTCAATTCAAACTATCACTTTGGAGCTGACTTTTGCTTGAGTAGAAAAGTTACTGAGAGTAAGAGTAGGGGTAGTCCTTGTGTCTTTGACATGAAACATTGTTATAAGCATCAAAATATGGACTTTTGTAAGGTGTTTATAAATCTGCATTTCACAGTTCTGTAGAAGCACACGAGGCAACTAGTTTTCTATTTTTAGTCAAAGCCTACTTGCCTGTCTCTCACATTTTTGTACTTTCTTGCATACTTGTAGAATTCTGAGGTCTTCTGCATTGCTGTGTTAATGAAGTATTTGACATTTCACATCTTCCTTCACTCTCCACTATAAAAAATAGAGACCATACCCAATATTCTCCTTTGGGAAGATGTCTACTAGAGTAAATACACCCAGTAGGTTTTTTTTTTTTTAACAATTTAAAAGTGAGACCTCCTAGATTACTTGTGCATTTGCCAAAATATGGTTGGGAGAAGGAAGAGTATTTGGGGATTTTTGATTATGGATTCCCAATTTCATGTAAATTGTCCTGGGATCATGGAGTAAATTGCCAGCATTTGACCCAAGGATACCTTTATTGTCCTCCCAGGGGAGGAATTCTATCTACTGAAGAATTTCATTTTTCCTGGTTCATCATTTCTGACTTTCTGGGTCCCTCTGGACTCTGTTAAGCTTAATTTGGGCTGATAGCCAGGATGGGATTTGGCTCTGAGTCAGAGAATCCACCTATGGAAAATTTCAAAGGACAGTTTACATAATCCCTCGATTGCAGTGTGCACCAGCAACTTTGTCTTTGTGGATATATTTCTAAATTGCCAGGAAGCAGAGATAGTTTTCTTATGAATCATTATGCCTAGGTCTTTTGAGTTTCTGTATTTCAAAAAAAAAATCTATGTCTATATATTATTTAGATCCTTTGTAGCTGCAGTTTAGTGTGCAAAACAATTTGAGGCACTTATAATGTTCTCATGTGCTATGTTCATCTTCATGGCTGGATATGTATCATCTTTTGCACATTAAAGACTATAAAATGAAAGACAGATATTGTGTGATTTCATTTGTCTGAGGCACAAAGAATAAGCAATATCTGAATTAGAGAGCAGAGAGAAGGTTACTAGAGTAAAGAAAACATAGGGAATTATAATTTAAAGGGTACAGAGTTTCTGTTGTGCGTGATTAAAAAGTTTTGTGCATAAAGTATAGTGATACAGCATTGTGAATTTATTCAGCACAGTGAACTGTACACTTGCAAATGGTTAAAGTGATACATATTCCATATATATTTTGCTGCAACAAACTCCCATACTTTCTAGATATACATGTGTGCACATGTGTGTATACATATACATATACATGCATTGTTCTTCAATAAACAGCTTGTTTTTCAAAGTTATAAAAAAGTATTCCTGGAATTTACAGAAAAAAAGTTTACTTTCAAAAATGGTTTACTCCAGGGGATTCAACATAGCTGAACAGAAGAGGAGTCACATTGGAATGACTCATTGAAAATCAGCTATCAACACAGGTAGTTGGAAGAGAAGAAGGGACATACATCCTGATTCCAAAATCAATCTGAAATAAGAGACTTGTAGATCAAACAAAACATAGGCATGCAACTTTATAAATTGCCAAAGCAGTCTACAGGATTACCTACGGGGCCTCTACATACATATGGAGCAAGAACAACCATTCTGGAAAATTCTAAAAATTAATGGATGGTAATAGTGTGGAAAACTCAAAACCACACAGGATGGATTTGGGATATAAGGACTCTCTCCTTTTTTGCCTTTTTCTATACAGAGTATGATGTAGCCTGGCACGTATAAGGGTAAGTGACATGGAAGCTGCTTCCTCCTTGATAGGCTGCCAGGTTTCTCTTTCTTTCTTTCTTTCTTTCTTTCTTTCTTTCTTTCTTTCTTTCTTTCTTTCTTTCTTTCTTTCTTTCTTTCTTTCTCTCTCTGTCTCTCTCTGTCCCTTTCTCTCTTTCTTTCT